ATCAACCAGAATGGATAGACGAAGCCAGAGCGGAACGTGCCCGAAATATAATGAAAGAATTGGGCGTAATATATGCTGGTACGTATTCCTTGAATGTACGTAGAGGCCTCGTACTCATTCTCTGCTAGATAGTGTGGTACGTCTTCCTTGAATGTAGAAGTTCCTCGCGCTCATTCAGCACTTATTCATCGCAGCCGTATCGCAACATGTGCAGGTTTAACTCTGGGGTGAGTGAGAATGAGAAACCTTTGAAACACACGTCAAATGACTGACTATCCCTTAGTACTTCTTTCACCATCCAACTCGTTCAACCATACCGGTACTACTGGCGTATTGAGTATGATCTTCCTGGTCATTGAGAGCCGTATGACTGACCTTTATTTTTAGACCTGACGTTGAATACTCCTGCGAAATTCAATACGATCCTTTCGAGTATCTCAAGCTGAACAACATAACATACGGTGAATTCTTTTACATGCGCACTCATAATCTGGTACTCATCCAAGAACAGGGTTTACTATTTCCCTAAGAGAGTTGGGACACACAGTAACGACGCTATGGGACAACGTGAAATGTTCGGGTTTTACACGTGTCTAGCAACACCTCGTATTGATGTTCTCTCGTCATAGTATTCATGGAAGAGTATCCTCAATACATTGCCGAAGACAATGCCATGGCCTTTCTCAGTGACAACGGCGGAGATACATACAATCTATGCCACTGTGAGTCTTTTCGCTTCTATGTCTATATACATGTTACCCAATATCCTCACAGTTTGGAGCAACTTTGAAATCGCGGATATGGACTTTTGGCGCAGTGAAGCGTATACCAAGTTTTTCGAATTTTTAGATTCAAAAGGCGGATTCTACTACGAGGTACATCTCTACATTAACAGACCTGATCCTGTCTCTAATTCCTGTCTTAGCGATGGGGAGATGCACCTGTTCATTCCATCGCTGCTGGCCTTTTCTTGAAGAAGGAACAGCTGCACTTTTTCAATGACATCGGCTATACTCACTCTGGCATTATGCATTGTCCTCAGCAACCAGCCTTCTTAACGGGCCATTGTACTTGCAATCGTGTCCATACTGTAGGCAAGTTTTTCGGAACCTCGATAAGTTTCAGAATAGTATCTGAACCTGTTCTATTAGATTATAGGGAACATTCATGTTTGCCGATGTTTAAACGTATGAAGAACGGCAAATGGTGATACGAGTTGTCGTGCACCTTTGCTTTACCACCCCTCGTCGGATCCTTGATCAGTCGAATGACTGCATACGCAGCATCAGCAACCGTTCGTCTTGAAGATTATTCGCAAACTTGATGAACCAGACCCACTCACGTAGGAACCTTACCTATTGCTCCTAACTACGCTCGCTTCAGCTTCACATTCATTCCGACTTCATTCATTGTTGCTTCATGTATTTATCAGTATGATTCATTGTAATTTACGCTCGGATATTCACTGGCACTATTTATTCCTATGCATGTTGCTTGCAGTTTTGTTTAATGGACCAAGAGTGTTTTTGATCTGTTGAAAGGTCCAGTTGGTCATGTAGAAGTCAATGTATCGAGATTATATTGCTTTCCGTCTGAATTTCCGTTGAGAATTACGTTGCGAAACCTAGTACTTGAAGGCGCGCGACGAGAATACACCAAACGTGACCATCCTGGTCCGTGCGCAGCTCTCCGAGTATAAATTGACAGCTCAAACATACGAACAACTCATACTTACCTTGATGGCACAGGCCCCTTCACGTACCCGGGTTTGTGGGCTGTGGAGATCCTTCATAGCACGGCGACCTTGTCCATACAAAGGGTGTCTGCGGCTTGTATAGGCTCAGGCTTATGCACCGTCTAAATATTTTCCTGTCCCACATCGGCCACTCTGGCTGGGTGGGCTCTTTTTTTAATGACAGATCACTGCTCTAACCCTAATCTAGGGTTTAATCGCCAGATTTGGTTAGTATACTTGTTGTTACTTACTGTACTTACTGTATATGCATGCGAGTTCGAACCCGCGTATAAATACATAAATTCTTGCGCCATTGCTTTTCATCTCCCTTAACATCTCCTGAAATACTAGTCGAAATCCACATACCCGAAGCCTGTTCGAGGTTCAAGAATTGCTGCACGTGGCGAGAATCAGCCATCCGCGGCGCGCCTTTATCCTTCAATTCCTTGTCATTAACCACGACGACGACGTTCTACAATGGCCAGACAATCTGTTCGCATTCAAGCAAAGCTAGCTGCTGCCGAAGACCCTCAGATGCAGGATGCAACTGCCTCTTCCACTGTAAATAGTCACACACATGCACGGGACGATGAATACAAAGAATACGAAGAGGAAGAGCCCGAGAAACATGCTCGGAAAAGAGCTAGAAAAAGCACTCGGTCTATATCAGATTCAAAGCGTCGAATACCTGAACAATTCAGGAAAGTTCGGGGTAAATTGGGAATGCTCGAGAGACTAGCCAAGGATGTTCCGTTGGATGTGATATTTGAGGTGAGTGCTAAGGAAAAATATTGCGCATGATTAACCCGAGTTTAACATCTAGATCTTCTTTTACCTCGATCCAAGCGATCTTCTTCGTCTCGCTCGGACATCCAAGGATCTTCGATGTATATTAATGAGCAAGACCTCAGAAAATATTTGGCGTACTGCTCGCGGAAACGTTCAAGGTCTTCCACCTCTTCCATTTGATTTGAATGAGCCACAATACGCTCATCTTCTCTATGAGTCGTATTGTCATGTCAGTCTCTGAACCCGCTATGATACTCTCCAGCTAACATTGAGTTTATGTTTAGGTCTGCAACCACAAAGGACGTTGCGATTTTATCTACTGGTCATTTCGAATGCGGTGTTGCAAGAACTGTTCCGCAACGTACGCTTTCTGTCTATACATCGTCACACTTTAGCTGCTACTTATTCGCGTTGTCTTTTAGCTTCCCTGGTATATTTGATTCCGAATACTGTTACAACCAGCCTGCAGATTTCCGTGGCTGTAATATATTGCCGAAAGACTGCACTCAGGGAGCCGGTTGGTTATACACAGATGTGTAGCTACCAAGTATTACACTTACTCAAACTCCAAAGGGACCCGTCGGCACGTTGGTAATCTTGAAATCGCAGAGCGATTCAAAGCAGAATACGAAGCACTTCAAACTCCAGAAGATCGTTCCGCCTGGCTTGTTCGTAAATCGGAAGAAAGACGAACACTTGATGCGGTACAGCTATTTCTGGCCTCATTCAATCATGCAGTATACAAGTACTGATTAGTTTTCTAGCATGGGAGACTTTGTGAGGATTGGCACCGAGCCAGGTTAGCGAATCGTACCGGTGAACTGAGCAATATCCGCGAACAAAGGAAGGACGCGTGAGTAGTCTCTCTTGTAGACTTGTAACCTTTGCCGAAACCATGATTCGTCCAGTATCCTTGATCGACTAGGAGAAATTGGGTGGCGCGAGGAGGCAGAAAAAATCATTGCGTCGTCGTCTCATCCCTGGGATGAGTTCACCACCCACCCATCTGTCAAACAGACAAAGAAACTCACTCAATATGGTAAGACACTCACTCTGTTAACCGTTTATGTACTCTTGACCAATACCCACTCAAGGCTGGAACAGCATCAAATCCGAATTGTTGGAAATGCTGTCGGCTCATAAGACCAAACGTCTGGCTCAAGAACGAGATAAAACTGCTAAGCAGCGCTATTTCCTACTCGAAAAAGAGTATAATGCTGTCTGGTTGACAACAGATCTTCGAGAGCCTTTCCCTGCACTGGGTGATATAATCACCAACAGAATATTTGAAGACCTCATATGGGATACTCCCGACACCGAAGCACTCACAGATGTATTCTTCCGGGAAAAGCTTTCGCAGTATCTTCCTCGCATCATTGAAGAATGGAGACCCGCCAAAGTACAGGAGCTCGTCGAAGTAATGCAAAAATCCCGCCCAACTGCTTCCGCCGCTGACCTACACCTGGCAACTTCGGTCTTCGAATGCCCTGACTGCCGCGCCAAGATGCAGTATCCCCAAATATTTTATCACTTTTGCTGTGTTTACAACCCAGTACCAAACAGTCTTAGTGAAGAGCGAATCAAGAAGATATACTCCTATGATAACAAAGCCAGGATGTCTCACAAAGTCATCTTCAGTGAAAGCGGGTCCAGAATTGTAAAGACAATCGTCGAGAGTTGTTCCCTTGATCCCGCTACTACGACGATACAAGACTTGCACTCTGCTAATCCGCTGATTGAGTGTCCGGCTTGTTACCTGGCACCCATGCAATCCTACTCCGAACTTGGACGGTCTTTCATGAGATGGCCATATGCGGTGGGCATTGTAATCTGCCTAAAAGAAGTATGTATTCCTAACGCCTCATTTGCTTTAAGGTCATCCACGGCGGCACAAATCATAATCTCACGATCAACTCTTTTGGTGAAGAAACGGAGCAGATCATTGCCTGTGAACCAGAATTCAGAGTTGCGGAGGCCATATGTTGTGCCCACTGTCATACGGCTCTCCATAGTACATTCAACAGTCTGCTCGAACATCTGAAAGCCAAGTAAGTACTTGAAATGTTTCCAACCGACATGGTTTCAATAAATTGAATAATATTTTCTGCAGCCACAGTGATATTACTGGCCTCGACATAGTTGTAACTTCCTCTCTTCGTAACCTCCGAGCTGAATTCGTCCAAAGGCATTGGTACTGGAATCCCCGAGCCAGGTTGTTGATGCAGGGTGGTGCGTTCCGATACAATAAAGAAGAGTCGGCTCTGGTAGCTGGTACATCTGCTCAGTCTTAGTTGCTAGCTTCGTTGAATTACTCAGTTACTCAGTGTTTCGTTACACTAGGATCCCTCCTCTTTACTTTAAAACTATACAGTATACTATCGCTTCGGCTAATAACAGTTTTCATTTGAAGAAGTCTATTGCCAAAGTTAATGTTAGAATGACTGTATATTATGTTGTTTGATGCATTCTGAGGTATGCCGGCGTGGCGCAATGGTAGCGCGTAGCTTTCCTACCAGGATAGGCTGAAGTTGCGGGTTCGATCCCCGTCGTCGGTTTAGGACCTCAGATTCGTAGTGATGCTTTTTTAGTTTTTTTTAATGACCGATCATGCATCTACATTATCTATATTTATATCTATCTACTTACTCTTTCTGTAAAATCTAATTTCTACTCATCACAAGATTCCGTCAACCCACACCCTTCTCCCTAGCTCATGGGCACAGTCCGGCGCATGAGGAAGACCTCGTACTGCCACTCTTCCAGTGTTACTTTCTGTAGTCGGTAATTCTGCGCTAGAGGTAGCAGAAGAAATTCCAGCGAAGCAAAGCACTGGTGTTTTTCCTATACCCGAACCACTAGTACCAGTAGCACCATCCGCCTCCCCAAGATCCACATCAAACTCGGATCCATCTACAACTTCAACCAGACCAGCAAGTGGGTCGTCCGAAGCCTGTACCTCAGGATCATCACCGACAGCAATTTCAGAAAGGCTCGAGCTTGATTCCGAATTTGCAGGTGAATGTGAACGGGAGGCGGATTCTGCTCTCGAGCGCGGACGCGACGTTTGCGATGACGTAGACGCAGACGCTAGTTCTTCTTCAGGAGTAGCGAAACGCATAATACGTACCAATTTGTTTCGCCAGCTCGTGCGTAGACGCTCCCGAGCTTTGACGAGCTTAGTCAAGCCCTCTGCCCATCCACGTTCCCATTCTCTATTGATGTTTTCGAGAAGAGGGCCGTAAGTGACTGAAAGGAGGTCTGGACCTGGTGGGTCTTCGGGAACAAGGGAATGGGGGATGTAGAGAGTGGTACTGAGGTAGCGTAATGTTGGTAAAGGAGGTAAGACGCGAATGCGTTCGGGATCATTGGAGTTGGTGTTAGTAGGCCCTCTACGGGATGGGCCACTAGGACCAGGAGCAACAGGATCCTCCTTGCGGAGGGAGAGAGTAGCAGTAGCCAATCCCTTCCGGCCTCTAGTACGCTTGGTTTCCTTTTTCGGCTCTTTCTTTCCCTCTCGAACCTGGAGCGCATCAATCCATGCATTCAGCTTCTTTTCCTTCTCCTTGGCTTTATTTAATCCAGCAACTGCGCAGCTCAGAGAAAGACTACCCCATTCATGAGAGTTGTCCCTGAAAGCGATATCACCGTTTCGCAGGATACTACAGTCATCTAGTATTATGTGTGTCAAGGAAGGATAATATGCGAGGATTTGAGGAAGTGATGCTTCCGGGATGAGGCACGTTGAAAGATCGAGGAAAGTGAGGCATGGGGCAGGAGATAGATGTGCATTAACGACGCGACGGAGGTATTTTTTGGATGGTTTGGATCCTACTGGGATGGAAGCACCGTAGGATGGTGGATGGGGTAGTGGAGCCAGAGTTAGCGATCGAGTGAGGTTTCGCGATGGGAAACGTAGTCGGAGATGTTTAAGAGTCGTACGTAGATATGGTGCACGAAGGAGACCTGGGAGTGCTGCTTCCAGTTGGAAGAATACGAGAGGCTGGGCAAAGCCTGCTGCTAACGTGCGTTGAGGAAGACCTAGAGAGAAGGTTGCAGGAGGACTGACTTCGGATCCTTCACTTGTACCAGAGTCCATGGTCAAGGGATCCTGAACGATGGATAGAGTGGGCAGGCGGCCTACTGGCCAGCGCGATAAGGCGTCTAGTGTTGGATCAAAGTAGGAGCCCTGATAATCGTTAGTGGATGTATAATATGAGAAAAGGACTCGTCCTACACTTAGAAACTGTTGGTAAGTAGCTTTCTGGACGCTGCCTAAACGTTAGCTTCAGTCCAGTTAAGAACCTTGAACGTACTATGGTCTGAATCTCAAGGAGAGATATCGCAAGTTGCCCACGCATTTCAGGCATCTACCTTTCTGATCAACAGAGAAGAGCTCTTCAAGATGCTCCGGGACGAAATTCTTTGGTCCGATCCAAATAGTTAAAGTGTGTAAATTTGGAAGTAATGTAAGAAGATCAAGGACGATCTCAGCGTCAGCAGTCCATGTCTCTAAAGAAAAGACCTGAATCCAGTTGCATGGTTGTTCCGTATCCTGTTCTCGAGGACGAATTCGCTCATACAAAGGTCCAAGTTGGGAGGGTTTTGTGATATGGATTTTCTGAAAAAGCTGGTGTCGGGGAACAGGAGAATGGGGAATTGCGCGAGTTAGAGAGAGAAGAGTTGGTCTAACGTCGGATTCTTTGAGCTGGTTGATTATCTCTTCATAGATTTCTGAAGGAAGGAAGCGCATGGCTAAGTCAAAGCTGAGAATCTCAGGCGCCTTTCTTTCTTTCTCCCACCATGTCTCTTCCCGATGAAACTCTGCGAAAAGTCTGCTTCAATTCTTATGCCAACGTCAAGCTCGCTCACATTTCGTTCAGATCCTCATCCAAATCCAGCAAACGGCCATCCAATCGCAACGCGCACACACTCTTGCCGCTCAACAAACCTCTGTGAAAGAACGCGAACGTAGAATTTTACAGCTTACGATAGAGGAAATTGGCGGAATCAAGGAAGATGTGAATCTTTACAAGGGTGTAGGAAAGATGTTTGTATCGCGCTGGGATCTGGGAGATAGTCTCTTCGGCTGATTCGGATTCCAGGTTCATGATGGTACCAAGGAAGGAAATGGAGAAGGAGCTTAAAACGCAAGAGAAGGAGCTATCGGATGATATTTCAAGTTTGAACAAAAAGGTGCGTCTCAAGGACTATCAGAGAATTCGTTGGCTAAAGTCTTTGCAGACAAAATATTTAGAGAAGCAATTTAATGAATCTCAGGCGCAGTTGCGGGACATTGTATGTCCAGTGCTCATGCTTTATCTGTCCATACACTGACGATCTTGTAGTTCCATCATGCACCGAAACAGCAGCAATAATTATCCACTTGTATTATACTTTAGAGTCGCGTGTAGAGCATCTGATCCTCCCACAAGCTTTCAATACGTCGAGATCGATTGCGTCCATGAACCTTCACTGGGGAATTTTGAAGGCAAAGAAACTGAGGGTCGAGAGATATCTGCATTAGGCGCACAACCTTGACAGTTCCTTCATGGAAAGAAGTGACTCTATAACTACTATTACTGTGCAGATATATAATAATTAGTAGAGAAATAAATTTGATACTGCACGTGCTCACGCGTTTCCCGCTTCCTTCAGAACGTCCAGGACCAATTTCCGACGTTCGACTCTTGATCCCGTACTTTTCCTTTTCGGCGTCTACTTGTCCTCGAAAGCCTCTCTTTGCCATCTGAAAAACTACTGCTTTGAACTTTGACTAGTTCAAACTCTTATTTGACCAATAATGGCCTCTCTCGACGACTACGATGAATTCGGCAACTACATTGGCGCAGATCTTGACTCGGACGACTCTGACAACGAGCAACCTACATTTGTTCCCCAAACATCCGGCGCTCCTGCACCTTTGGAAGGTTTCGAGGATGAAGACGTGCCCATGACGGGCCAGGAAGAAGGCTATGGCGAAGGAGCACTAATGGAAATCGACAGTGGTAAGTATTCAACACTACAATCATGATTCTTACACCCTTTTAATCTAAAGGTTTTCATTTCTCTCCATTTCGGCGGTTCAGAACCAGTACACAACGCTGTCATTTTACATGAAGACAAGCAATACTATCCTTCCGCCTCTGATGTCTATGGCGCCGATGTTGAAACTATGGTGCAGGAAGAAGACGCGCAGCCACTTTCCGAACCCATTATCGCTCCAATAAAAATCCGAAAATGGACGGTGGAGGAGAAGGACATGCCGGAAACTCGATTTGACAAAGGGTAGGCCCTATTTCGAATCATTCACTAGCTGGTTGATTGAAGAAAACTATAGATTTTTGTTAAGTATGACCGGGTTTCCAGAGATGATTCGAAACGTCGCTGTCGTAGGGCATTTACACCACGGAAAAACTGCGTTGATGGATATGTTGGTATTCGAGACGCACAAATTGGTTTGGGACGCGGATAAGCCTGTAAGTCGCTTTCAGGTATCCGCTTTTCTCTCCTTAATCTCTATGCACAGACCCGTTACACAGATACCCATATCCTGTCCCGAGAACGTGAAATATCCATCAAGTCCTCCCCCATGTCCCTTGTACTCTCCACAACAGCAGGCAAATCCCACCTCATCCATTTCATTGACACTCCTGGTCACGTCAACTTTGTGGACGAAGTTGCTTCTGCGGTACGACTGGCGGATGGTATTATATTGGATTGTGGACGTTGTCGAAGGGGTAAGTGAGGGAATTGGCCATATGTACTTGGAGCTAACGAAAAACGCAGCTCATGGTCGGAACGGAGGCTATCCTCCGACATGCAATCCAGGAAAACGTTAAAATCACACTCGTTGTGAACAAAATCGATCGCCTCATCCTCGAACTCAGGATAAAACCTTCTGACGCGTTTTACAAAATCAAGCATACCATCGAGGAAATTAACACTTTTATTAGGTTTGTAGTCCACATTCTCATCTGGATACAGTGGAGCTGATATTGTCCTTGGTAGTGGAATTGATCCTGACCCCGAATTGAGGCTGAGTCCTGAACTTGGGAATGTGGCATTTGCGAGCACAGATATGAATTGGTGCTTTACTCTGCGCTCGTTTGCACAGATGTATGCTGACACTTTTGGTACTTGCTTTCATCTCAAGTATACATCTTAAAGCTTACTTTTTCTTGCAGGCAAAGTCGATGTTCCTACCTTTGCAGCTCGTCTTTGGGGAGATATCTATTTCAACAACGATACTCGAAAATTCACTCGTAAACCCTCCGACCCAGAACATCTTCGCTCCTTCGTACACTTCATCCTCGAACCTCTATACAAACTATACTCGCAAGTGCTCAGCGAAGAGACCGACTCTTTACAGGAAACCTTGCACAGTCTAGGTATCAAGTTGAAACCAGTGATGTTCAAGATGGACGTGAGACCGCTGTTGAAGGTGGTTTTGGACCAATTTTTTGGACCTTCGACGGGCTTGGTGGATGTTATAGTGGAGCATATTCCGAATCCTGTTGAAGGAGCTATTAATAAGGTCGGTCCGTGCCCTAAATTC